ATTACATTCCTGCGCTCCTTCCGGTTTGATTTGAGCATCTTTCAGAGGTGCCGCGCCAATGCTCAGCGGTTGTGTTGCGTTGGAAATCTGGGCCGCCGTATTTGTAGCCGCAGAGGCTGCAGCAGTATAGGCGAGATATTCCAACAGTCTATTTGATATGTCTGAGGTTGAAAATAAATTGTAAAAGTTTGAGGGAACAGCTGGGTTGGGATTGTTTATAATTGGGCCCGCAAAGGCCCCGTCTGATATGGGCTTTGATAGCGCATTTGATGTCGACGATGGGGACATGCTATTGCTATTATTGTGATTGGGCTGCTGGATTTTCCGACGGACGTTCAACAGCAGGTTCATTTGGTTGCGACGGAAGTTTTCGTGTGAAAATTCCCAGGAGCTTGTGTATGAGGAAGACGACGAAGAGCTAGTCAAATATGTTGACGAAGAAAGCGATAATGAGCGAGAAAAAATATCGCCACTTGGCCCTACCGGATTATCAAATGACGATATTTGATTGACGGTGAAATGCGGCACCTTGTGAAACCCATACATATTCAACTGGCGCACAAAGGAGCTAAAGTTATTGTGTTTGAAAAAGCGAGGAAGAATTTCGCGCGCAAACTCTTCTGGATAAAAGACGATGAAGGTGGTCCCATCAGATCCCCATCGAATATAGGCATTGGTGGACACATCATCAACCATCAGATATAGCTTTTTAACAAAGGTAGCCGGATGCACCTGCTTTCCCGCCGATGTTGAGGATGCTGATGGCGACAGCGACTGTGGTGAAACCGAGAACAATGATGAATTGGAGAGGGATGATGTTGCATTAAAATCGGAAGGCATCCAATTAGGAGCAAGCTAGAGGAATATAAAAGTAATTTAAAAAATTGCAAATTCAACTTTTGGCGGCCAGCCATTCGATTTGCTCTATTTGATGGCAAATGAATGGGCCACATATTTGCCGTGTGCGTGGTTTGGCGATGCGGGACACGCGCTGTAAAAGTTGCCTGAATATACGGGCCAAAATTTACGATTCCTGGTTACCAGTTTTTATTTACAAATTTGGTTGTTGATGTTAGATTTCCGATTTTTGACCGCGTCCGATCTGCTTTATCACTCATCGAGTCGATAAGAATGTTGGACTCCAATATCTCGTTCCGAATCATGATGCTTAGCTCCTTTTGTTTCCGGACCTGAAGGGCCAACGCCTCGATTTTGCGGTCTTGCTTTTCTATTTCGCTCTGGAATATTAGTTTGAAATGGCCCCGATTACCATTATTTTCTCTCCGGTAGCTGTTTTCTCTCCGGTAGCTGTTTTCTGGTGAGCTTGCTCATCTTGGGCGTCCTTGATGGATGCGGTGCCCGCATTTGGCTCTGCTTTTTTCTGTCCCGCCATTGACACCGGTGATTTTTGGTCTATCATCTG